AAAAAAAAAAAAAAAAAAAGGGGGTAAAAAAAAGTTTAAGTATTAAAAGCGAATGTTTCTGGGAAACAGGACCAAGGTTATGAAAGAAGGGTCAGCCGCACAGCACCTGTCTGGCAAGTGTGAGGCCCTGAGTTCAACTCCTGATACCAAAAAAAAAAAAAAAAAAAAAAAAAAAAAAAAAGAGAAGCATGTGATTAGAAACATTGGATTATCATGTGGAGCGTGTCCACCTTTAACCAGCCATGGCGTTCATGAGGAAGGCTTGAACTCAGGCAGGTATGTGTTGGGCTGCTCTGCCGCAAGCTGGTTTTCTATGACATAGCATGCTCTGCAGCTCTCCAGAACCCGGGCCTGGAAGAATGCCTTGTCCTTCTCCTGCCAGACGTCTGACTCGATGTACACGTTGAAGGGGTCATGTGAGTGCTCCAGTTTCTTGGAGCGGATATAACTCAGCATGATGCCCAGAGTGAAGAAGCCAAAGAAACCCAGCACCATGAGGATGTAGAGAGCCTCCAGCTTGCTGTCGTCGCGCACAAGGGACCTGCGGGCCAGGCCAGATGTATTGCTGCCTGGTTGAACTGTCCCCTGCCACACAGTGGCCAGGAAGGGCATCACAGCTGTGGAATTAGACAAGCTCATCTTGGGCTTCCTCGGTGGGACAGCGAACGGCCTGGGCAAACTTCCTAAAAGAAAGGTGTAACATGAAATCAAAAGTGCATGTTGGCCAAAGCACCCCCACACACACACACACACACAGGTGCAGGTGACAGAAGTGAGCCTTTTCCGCTGTGTGATGTCCCCTTTCTAAAACATCACTGATGTTACAGGCTGTCGGGTCACTGATGAGATGCGCAGAGTGGCTGCTACCCTAATGGGAACATAGCAGCCACACACTTTGTGCTCCAAGGAGGAGTTTATCAGGTTTTCCACCTAGTTAAGAAATCACAGCCCAAGGATTTGAGGTTTTGAGGATTTAGGGTTTTAGCTTTGGGTCTCCCCTGGAGGACCATGGCTCTCTTCTTTCCTTTGTGGCCAGATCAGTCATAAATGAGAAGCGAAGATGTTTGTGGCCCTCCTGATGGCTAGGCTTTTAAGTTTGTGCAAGGTCTGTTAGGGTTGGTAAGGTGGCACGGGCTCAGGAGATGCCCAGCTACTCATTTTTGCTACTGATTCTTTGTGTGGTGTGCTGTGTGTGTGTGTGTGGTCACTGGGATCAAACCTATGGCCTTCTCACTCAGCTACATCTATCTGCCTTGCTGATTTTAGTTTTTATTTTTGAGGCAGTGTCTTTATAAAGGCACTAAGTTGCTCAGGCTGGACTTGAACTTGTGATCCCTCTGCTTTAGCTTCTCAGTTTCTTCTTAAATGACATAAACCACCTGCACAGAAGCCTGTGCCAGAAAAGAGCATGTCTTAAATGGAAGGTATCATTTTATTTTCCAAAACCCAAGTGACCACAATGGGCAAAAAAATCCTGCTACCAGTTACTGTTAAGGAGTTCTTTAATGACCATGTGAAACTAGAATTATGGAGGGCAACACGAGGACACTCAAATGTTAATTGGTTTGGAAGCAATAGCTCCACTAAGTGAATGACCTTAAGAGTAATTTCTGCATTTCATATTGGTGGGTACACTGAAAACACCTGTTACTAAAACCCACATGGTATTTTCTATGGCCAGGGAAGCAGTCAGAAACATCTGCCTTGAAAGTTTCCCTGACCCAAACCATTTTTTTCTTACAAAAATTCTTCCAGGTACTCTGCAGCACAAAAGAAGATTTTCTCATGTCCTATACCACGCCCAGATGTCCTCAATCTTGGCTACAAGTGAGGATGTCCTGGGCGGGACGTTACTCTGTTATAACAGGGATGTCGTACTGTTCCAAGGTGGTGGTGTTGAAATCTCAGTATGCTTTAAAAGCACCTGCTCCTGCCTGGCAAGCACAAGGTCCTGAGTTCCATTCCTGGTACCCACCCCCCAAATTAAAATAAACAAAAGCACCTCGCTTCAGTTTAGATTGTTGGGCTCTACCTCCAGAGGATCTGTCCCGGGTCTGGGGCCCAGCATGAGCACTGGCATCCCTAACACGGTCCCAGCTGCTGCTGACACTGCTGGTTGGAGACCAGGCTTCGTATCGTATTGGAATCCCTTGTGGAGCTCTCACAAGACAGTGATGCCATTAGAGATGTCTTAATGTTCTCAGTCCAGGTTCCTGCTTAGCCCTGGGACTTTTCTGTAAAACCTCCTGCTGTGCTTTTAATGTGTCCTCCAAAGTTCATATATTGGAAGTTTAATCCTCACTGCAACAGCCTTGGAAGCTATGACCTTTAAAGAGTGACTAGAATAAATTAACGCCATTATCTTGTGGGTGGGCTCTGGATAAAAGGATGACTTTGGTCTCCTCATGCCCTCTTGCCCTCCTTTCTTCCACCATAGGATGACACAGAAGGAAGACCCTCTCCAGACACGAGCCCTTTGACCCTGACCTTCCCAGCCTCCAGAACAGTGAGCAATAAAACTCCGTGCTTTAGAAATTATTCACCATCAGGAATTCTGTTATAACGGTACAACATCCCTGTTATAACGGAGTAACATCCCTCCCAGGACCTCCTCACTTGCAGCCAAGATTGAGGATAGCTGGGTGTGGTATAGGACATGAGAAAATCTTCTTTTGTGCTGCAGAGTACCTGGAAGAATATTTTTAAAGAATATAAAGCAAAAAAAAAAAAAAGAAAAAGAAAGAAAGAATATAAAGCATTATTTCATCACCTAATTTTCAAGTCTCATTTGTTTTTCAGCTCTTTCTTCATTTTTCATGTCTCTGATGTAGTCTGAAGACTACATGTCTCCGTTCCCACAGACAAACTGTCATCTCTATTGTAACCCCAGCTGTCCCCAACCTGACTCACACTGGCACCTTAAATTATTAGCCTGTCAGGGCTTTTGCCAGACCAGAAAAGCCAAGTTCATTAACTAATTGTCAGAGAACAACTCTGCATATTTAAAGGAAAGTTTTTCTTGCTTTACATTTAAAAGGCTGCATTGTGTTGGCTAAATGTCCTCTGCACCCCAAGTGCCTGCAGGCTGGGACCCAGTGGTATTTTGTGTAATGAGTTTCCAAATGAGTCAAGCCATGGCCTCTTAATAATCAGCAGCATGGTGTAAATGACACAGAGTCCAATCTGCATGCCATTTGGGAGTTTATGCCAGATTTTCTAAGACTTCCATTCTGATACCAAAGCACCTACACGTTCAGCAGCCCCTAGCATCAAACTGTTGGACTCAAGTGAGTTTAGAGAACGACTGACCCAACAATCTTAATTTACAGAAAACTGCACTCCACGGAGGTGAGACAATTTACCAAAGAAAATTGGTCCTGTCATCGTACATATGAAACGGAATCTTTGAGCTATGGAGTCACATTTTATTATTATAGAATGAGGAGTTCCCCGGACCATGTAGAGTACAGACAGGCTCTTTAGGCTCAAAGCAACTGAGGAATCAGTCACTTTTGTCAGGTGAAACTGGAGGTCCTAGATGAAGACTGGCTTTTGGCCTAAATAGACCAACAAGAGTTGCTCCCATCGCTACCCTCCATGCCCCTCCCCAAGCCCCAGACGGAGCCACAGCTTTGTGGAGTTTGCACAGTTGGGAAAGAGCCAGGGCAGGCAGGAGCAGCAGGAAACCGGGATGCCCACGCCAAACAAAACCAGCCTATGCTGAACACTCTCCAACTGGATCTTGTTGGGCCGAGAAAGAGAGACATTTCTGTTTGTGTCTGGGTTTGAGGCATGGACATAGGCCCGGGGCTGCTGGCCTTCTGGGACCCACTCAGGATACAGGGCTCTGGGCAGGTGAACCGAACAGCTACAAGTGAAGCCCAAGTGGACCCCCTACTGCACCCAGCGAAGGAGCCAGTGGAGGGCACCTCACTGTTCTTGGCATACACTTCTGCATTTTATTGCCTGCTCCAGCTGGCTCACCTATCAGCACTGATAACAGCCTAGAAGCTTCTAAAACAGAAGCTTTCCCAGCATTGGCAACTTTTGCCTTTTCTTAAGCGTTTACTGTCTGGGCAGGGCTTTTGTGGCTGACGCCCAGCTTTCCCCTGGGAGGGGTGTATTCTGGGGCAGGCAGGGGAGACACAGAGATGGGGAGGTCACAGCCAGAGCTCAGAGATCTGATTCCAGCCCTGCTCTGTCTTTCATGCACCACAAGGTCCTCCTGAAGCGCCTCCTTCGGAGGAATGGGGTAGCATTCCTGCTACCAGCATCTCTGAAGCAGTTCCTCGAAAGAGCATTCCTTAAGCAAGACTCAAAGATCCAGTCTTGAAATCATTTGGCATTATTTGTTTTAGGAAGCTGAATTAGGGTAAAACCAATTCTGGATAAGCTTCATGTGGGTGAATATGATCCTAATTGAGTCAAGAATTTGATGAGTCAGTTTTTCTTGGAAGCAATTCTCGTTGTTTTCATCTTTCTCACAACCCTATGTCCAAATTCTGGAAACATATGGTATTTACCTCTTAGCAGGAAAGAAGCCAACGGAGGCCAGCAGGCCCTTCCTGGGAGTGGTTTGGTGTCGGTCTTCCCTCCTTCCCCTCTCCCTGGCATCACAGTGTTCCCAAGGTGGCCAGGGTCTCCCAAGGAATTGGGAGAATACCGTGCAGAGGCAAGGCTCACAGACCAGAAAGATGTTTCTTGTCACCTTCTGGCTCTGCCTTCCTATCCCCAGGAGCTCCCAGACCTCTCTGGGGGGCAAGAGCGGTATAAAGAATGGAAATGCAAACACTCAGGGAGTCCACCCAGTGCACTCAATACGGGAAGGTGAGAGGGACCCAGTCAAACTCAACACGGGAAGAGGGCGAGCATTTTGGATAGAGAATGGGTGAGAGCAGAAGACAGGAATCTTACCTTCTGCAAACGAAATAAATCTAAGGTTCCTCAGTTTCCTCATCTAAGAGCTGAGAATAACGATGTCAGTGTTGGCGGTATACAACAGGGTTTGGCATGAAATAACCCTGCCAAGGCTCTTCCTTACTTCCGTGGAGCATGCCCTCCACATCTGTTTACTATGATTCTACTGCTCTTTGAGGAGCTTGCTCCTACAGCAAACTATGTGTGACCCCTGCACAGACCTCCCCTCTCCACGGTGCCCCGAATCCCTCCTTGTCTCTGTTTTGCCTATAAAACCCATCGTATTCTTGTCATCTGTAGACGTGCCTGGGCATTTCCTTGCAAGAGCTCCTGCAGGTCAGAGATTCTCTTGTTCACCTTTGTCCCCACTCCAGCATGAAGTATTGGAGTCAATTCCACTCCAGTGGCAAAATGAACATGAATAATAGGTACACTACACTCTGGAAATAGTCCAATCACTGTAGGAAAACCTCCTGTCCTGCAATATGTTTTATATGTTAAAAGTCTTATTATTTATTTTTTCCTTATATCTTGCATATTAACTTTATAGTACTCATAGATGTATCTGTAACTTAGTTCACAGTTTTCTCTCTTAGTCTCAGTACCTCTTCCTTTTCTTTTTTTCCACAGTGTTTTATCATCTAATATAATATCGTTGTCTTGATTATTGTGTTTCTTGTTTAATGTTTTCTTTCCCACCAAAATGTAAGCGTTTGAGGACGAGGACCTCTGCGTGGCTGTCCCTCATTCTAGCTCCCATGCCTAGAACAGTGCCTGGCCTGTGGTGGGAGCCCAGTCAGCATTCATCAGATGCAGGCGTGCACGCATGAATGCCTAAGTGTTCCGTTCAGCTGCCAGGAAAGAAGATCCCAAATCACCCAGGAACTGTCTCACCCTCTGAGGGTGACATCAGTGAGTCCCTCTGAAATCTCACAGTGAACCTTAATTTCAAAATGACTCACTTGCCAATCACGTATCATAGATAGGCCCTTGGTGGATGAGCTCAAGAGGGGTCCCCTCCAGGGAGTGAGAAGGACTTCCACAGATGGACCTCCACGCACCTGATCCATAGCCCCAGACAGGGAGCGAAGGCAGAGGGCTTTCACCTCAAGAAACTCACTCGTCACATGGTGAATTCAAACACCACGTGTGAACACAACAAAGCCCCCAGCATCCTGACTGAGATGACAGCCACGGTTACCCCGGGGTCTTCCTTTGTGGAGCTGAGAGCTCCTCCTTAATTTAAATGTGCACAAAAGTGAGTTATCAGTATGGAGGCTACTGCTGGGCCAACTTCTGAATTCCCCTGCTTCTCCATTACTATAACCAAGATCAGATATCAAGGGGCTGGGGATTTAGCTCAGCGGCAAAGCACCTGCCTGGCAAGGGCCAGGTCGTGAGTTCGATTCCTGGTACCGGAAGAAAAACAAAACAAAACAAAGATCAGATATCAGTAACGCTTTCCAAATCCCAGGCACTTTCCACAGAGAAAAAGCAATACCCAAAGACCTTGCTGGTCAAATAAGTACAATGAGATGAGATGACATGAGATGAGATGACATCAGATAAGATAAAATAAAATAATAAAACAAAATAAACGTTTACTCTTTCAGGCCGGTGTATAGTATTCAAGTATTGCTGAAATGAAGGTCTCTTGCATGGTGGTGGCTTTTTCTTTTGATGCTTTTTAGGTATTTTCCAAATTTTCTACAAGAATGCCCATAATTCAATAATAATGAAAAAAATGTTTTCATGGCAATGCAGCAGTGAGATGTTTTCCTACGCCTTTTAAAAAAAAAGTAAGTGAAGACAGGCCGAGAGGGGAAGGAGAGGGGCTGAACCACACGGGCCGCGGCTCCACCGCACGGGCGGCTGCGCTTCCCACTCGGGGCGCGTCCGCCGCGCTCCGGGAGACCGAGACGCGCTCCCCTCCTGATCAGGCGCCCTGACTTACCGCGGTCCGGGTCTCCGAGATCGCCAGGAGAGGAGCGGGTCCGCGGCCGGGCGCCGGGGCCAGGCACTGGGAACCCGGAGGCGGCGCCC